TCCAAAAGCTCAGCAATTGCTGCCATCAAAAATTTACAAATACCAACATCAAAACATTATGATAAAGAAAAAAATAAAATACTGACTAGTTTTTCACTTTATTAGCATACAATAGCGGAAACACTCTAATACACGCAAGAAATCTTCACCTTCACAACTAATGCGGCTAAAAGATCCTTCCTTTCCCCTTAAAATAATCTTGATTTAAACTTAACTAATCATAACATGCACATCATAAAATTGAGCCAATTTTTTTTTGCTATCGTGGAATTTTAAAAAATCAAAACAAAACAAAAAATTACCTCCAAAAGCCCATTTGTGAGAAGTTGCATTAGAATGCAAAAACTTAGGGTGCACTCTTGCATGCTCCAATTGACCTAAAAATAAAACCAAACCAAACCAAAAATTGGAAAATCAAAATCACATTTCCCATAGCAAAAAAAAATTTAAAAAAAAACATGCGACACTGTAAACCTTGAGCAGGGGCCTTGCTCGCTATGGGACCCACGTCATACGCTCCCGCTTTCCAGAAACTTCGACAATCCAGACTCTGATACGCAGGCACCGGTACCGCTATTGCTTCCGAGCTACTATCTTGTTGCTGCTGCTGCTGCTGTTTTTGCTGCTGCTGCTTTTGCGGCTGCTGTCTTCTCGACTTTGAAGACGACGGCGTCGTTTTGCGTGGCATACCTGGCGGAGGACCAATATCGACTTCGTCATCGCTACTTGCGATTTCTACTACATTCATCGGTTGCTGCTTCTCTACTTTAGGCGGCATTTGAATAAAGCAAAAGAGTTAGGGTTTGAATTTAAAAAGTTAGGGTACTTTGATTCGTAAAAATTTGTTGCAGCAGACTGGCGTTTTGCAGAAGTAGAGAAGATGACATGAAAACTTTGAATGACAACAAAACGGTTTCGTTTTCAAGATATGCCGTATTTATGGGGTGCCTTCTTATCGGAGGATCGCAATTCGGAAATGCGTTCTTATGACAAGCAGCTATCGACCCAACTATTTAATTTATCTGCTAGTAGATGACAACAGTACCCCTAAATAGTCATTATTAATATTTTATTTTTTAAAATTTATTTTTATATCAAAATAATTTAAAAAATTAATTTAAAATAAAAAAGTATCTGAAATTTTGAATTGCCAACTTCCGTTCAAAAAATAGCATGAAATGCCCAATTCAGAAAACACAGATAAATTTTAAGTCTAATTTTATTATTTGTCTACTATTCTCGAAGGATAAGTCAAGAAGAAGAAATTAATAGTTATTTTAATAATTAAAATTAAATTAAATTAAAAAATATACTAAAATAGCTATATGGAAATATTTGAGAATGTAATTGTGGTTGCTTTTTAAAATATTTTTCATTTTAAAATATATTAAAATAATATATTTTTATTTTTAAAAAAATATTTTTAAAATATAAAATATAAAATGATTCAATGTTGGCTACTGTAAAGTGATACAAAGATGTGTTGTGAATTGTTTCTAAAATGCATGATTTTTTTAATTTTATATTATTTGATGTTTGTAGTTTTAGATATTTACATTTTAATCAAAAACTTTATTTTTATTACATTTGAATCATTAGATATTAAGAAATTAAAAAAAAATTCATAACAAAAAAGGAGAAAGAAAGATTTGGTTAGCTATATTCAAGCATAAAAAAAGAAAATCAATCTTAATATTAATTATTTCATTTTAAAGGGAGAATTCAATAAAGTTAGATTTGACTTTAAGCATGCCGAAAAACATAAATCAGGAATTGTAAATATTTTTTATTCAGTTTGATTTTTAATTTTTAGATTAATCAAGAGTTTTTTTAGAATTAAAAATAAAATTATTGAGATTTCCAAGATATTTTTTTAGTATTCTTGGACAAAAAAAATATTGACATGTGGGCTTGTAGCATGTATTTAATGAGAATAAAAGGCCTCATTTTGCTGTGTTGAAGTTTTCATATAATTTTTTGAAATTAATTATTCTTTTCTTTTCACATAAAGTTGTACAAAAATTAACATTATCAAAACATAATTTTTTATTTATTTTAACTTGCTTTTCAAATCATAATAAGTTTTTTTAAAAAAATGTTATTAATTAATAAAAAAACATATATTTTTAATATAAAGAAATAAATAAACAAATAAACAGTTTTGAGGTAAATAAAGGTTTTGAGGCTATTCATAGAAAAATACAATTAGCTTGACGCAACTATGTCTTAACAATTTCCTGAAGAAAATAAAACCTTTTCATGTCTGACACGTCATTCCCAATTTTGTTGTAAAAATAATGGTGATAAAACTTCTATATAAATTAAATAATTTAACTCACATACATCATTTTTTTTTAAATGCAAAGTTTTGAAATTTAATAGCACTATTCATTACCTAAAATAGAATCCACAGCTAAAACAATGTTTCTCGTGGTGGCATTGTATTTTTGAGAAAAATTGATTCTTTTAAATTATTTTTTTATTTTTAAATTATTTTGATATATTAATATCAAAAATAAATTTTAAAAAATAAAATATATTATTTTAATATATTTACAAATATTTTACACTTTAAAAAATAATCACTATTACAATATCAACCACCAATATCCACTAATTCATGTGTTTATTTTTTCTTCTTACAGCCATTAAGTAAATAATGAATTTTATTTTCTTTTTTCATGTTGTAAATGGAGCTTATTTAATTCATTATGTATTTTCTAACTGGATTACAGTTGATAAATTTACATTCAATTGGGCAGAAACTTGAATTTGATCAGTTTGTACAGATTTCAATTGATACAAGTTAGTGTATCATTTTGACTAAATTTTTATTCAAGCTAATGAAATATTTGGAGAACATTTTTCATTACTTGGTATTTTTTTATTTCTAAAAATAGAAGCATATCTATTTAATTGTTATATTTTGAATCATATCTAAAAACATAAGCATATCCATGAATTCATGCCAAGGTCCACTGGAATTTAATGACCAAATTATAGATGCAGGCCAAAGAAAATCAAAATACAGAAAGCATTCAGTGATATAACCCAGAAATAACAAGATTGAACTTTCTTCACTTCAAATGCCAAACCCACTTCCAGTTCACCACAAACAATAATGGGTATTCATTAATCTCAAAATCAATTCACCACAAATAATTTTATCTAATTTCATCACTCGTGCTTGCACAGTAGAAAGACAACAAGCTTCACCTGGAACTCAATAAGATTCGAGGCTTTATTGCTCAGATTTCCACAGATACACACACAGAAATCAAGCCATTTTAGGAGTCAGAATGGACTGTTTGTCGAAAATTGATAACTATTTTCTTAGTATATAACTAATTTTAAAAAAAAAAATATATAGCCTATGCTTAATATATCCAAACATATGAGTTATTAAGTGATTAATTTTATTTCTTTTTTGGTCAATGTTCGGCCTCATGAAATTAAAGATGGTTTAACTGTGTTCTGTCTACGAAATAACAAATAACCTTTGAAATCGACATTGATCGATTAATGTGAAATAATTAAATTAATTAATGCGACCTAATTAAATGAGGGAGAGAGAATGGCTTATAAATGGTTACAGTTACAAATTAACAACTAATACTCTCATTTAATATGTTAACTTTTATGAATTATATTTCTTCTCATGGTTTCTTTTGAAGATATGTCTATGTCACTCGGAATCCTTTGCTATATTATGCATGCGTAAGCAATTAACTAAGATATGTTCCATGAAATTTCCTTTTTTAAAAAAAAATTAATTTAATTTATTTTTTATATTTTTAGATTATCTAGATGTATTAATATTAAAAATAATATTTTTATATATTTTTAAATGAAAAATATTTTTAAAATAATCATTATTACATTCTTAAATATCCTCTAAATTGTTAGCACCATTAGACTAAATTTCTCCTCTCTTTTTTTATAGAGTTTAATGTCTCTAAAGGTGTAAACTATCTTCTCTTAAATTGTTCGGTTGTTATAGATGGCTAAGCTTCATCGTTACAAGTGAATCATGGTGTAGGAAATCATCATTAAAGAAAAAAAGAGATCAACAAAAAACTTTTATGGAGATTTTGGTATAGAATCAAAATGTATAGCATATTTTGAGAATTTTTTTTTAAATATGTGAAGCTTTCCCAAAGATATATTTTGACTATGTCTAGAGGAAAGATGTCATGGTTTAAACATGGTTGACTGGCATTATAATTTTTCTTATAACCCCTTTAAATTTCTCGTTGTAAAAGCCTTCAAAGTTCAAACATAATTGCATAATGTTTTTCTAGAATTAATTGCATAATTAAATGTGAGTAAATACATCTATATATATATATATATATATATATATATATATATCAGCCAATTTTATCAGCATTATCTTTATTAATGGGATATTAATTAATTATTCAATGACTTTTAACTTAAGAACTAATCCATAGCATATGCGATGAGAATGTTTTCATAATATTATATTGAATAAATCTATTATTCTTGTCAAAAATATATAATTTATCCAATGAACAAAAATCTTTTTGGGCTAATTAAAAGGGATAGTAATTAATATTTTTTTCTGCAAAGTTAAAGCACTAATGTCTCCCAATTGACGACCATTGACCATAGAGACTCATGCATAACCCATCCTAGCTATTAAACGAGAAGGAATCAAGAAGACATTAATGGCAAAATTATATTAATAAGAGAAGCTTAATAGTAATGACTATTTTAAGCAATGTTACCAACACTAACCAGTGGCTCACAAAAAATGAATGGCCAAGATTAACCACTGTCATAAATGCATTCATATACTCTCATCTCTTAGACAATATTAAGGTGAGAGTAACTCTTCAATTCTCAAACTCCAATATTCGAGCCTCGGTGTTTCTCTTTGCTTTCTCTCCATTGAGCTTGTTAAGCTGGTTAGAGACAACCCTGCCTTCCTTTCACACTCGATGTTTTCCCCAGATAACTACTTGAGGAAACCGTACATGAAAGAATATGTATTTCCCTGTGAAACACCTTCAGCAAAGAGCTTTCTTCAGGATTTTAACCATCTTGATCAGCTGCATGCTAATAGATCATTGTATGGTGTCCTTACTGGCTCTAATTCTGGTTCTTTGGATGAATTTCCCTATAGATTATCACCAGCTTCACATTTATACGAGTGTGACTACAAGCCATACACAAATAACAACAATGGACTATATGGTCGAGACAATTTCCAAAGTAGTGGATGCTTGAACCTCCCTCAAGAAAACATCATTGACATGATAGGTCCTAATCAGAGTCACATGTCCTTGAATTTACAAGAAACCAAACCTATGAATATTGAGGTGCTAGATGGAACCCCTTGTGTGTCGACAAAATATGATTACTACACGAAAGGTGGCTTGTATAAGAATGATGCCATACTACCTTTGACAAGAAGGACAGGGAAGACACCTAAGAAGGAAACTACTAATGTAGTCAAGGGGCAATGGACAGCTGAGGAAGATAGGTACGTGTAAAGGAGGATTTTTTTTTCTTGTAACTTAACAATATACTCTCTCTAATTCTTCATGTTTGACTTAATTTGTTGCGATAACATCATTTATGCAGCCTGTTGATCCGGCTGGTTGATGAGTTTGGAATAAGAAAATGGTCTCATATTGCTCAGATATTGCCAGGAAGAATCGGCAAGCAGTGTCGAGAAAGATGGCATAACCATTTGAGGCCAGATATCAAGGTTAATATTTTCTTTCATTATCTTATCTATTCATCGTATTTCTCTCCTTCTTCTCTGGGCAGTGGAAAAGGGCAGGAAGAGGGGCCTATTATACCATGCCTGCTTGGGAATTATGCTTTTCATAGTCATTGTATATTTAGAGAGGCTTCTACTAATACAATACATAAAATACTTCTTCCAATAAGATTTAATGAGCGTAGATAATATACTTCTTCAAATACTATTTTCAGGACTTGAACCCATGACCTAAATGATGCCCTCCTCCATATTGAGCCCATGACCTAAATGATGCCCTCCTCCATCACATAAATCAATCTTTGTCGGAAATGTTTAAAAAGAATCACACATGGACAATTATGTTTTGTCCATGGCATGATCAACCTGAGCATTTCATAAGCAACATGAGGATGGCAATGCATTTTCTCATCATTTTTTCGATGTCCATTTTTCGTTACAGAAAGATATTTGGAGCGAGGAGGAAGATAGGGTGCTAATACAGGCCCATAAAGAAATAGGGAACAAATGGGCGGAAATTGCTAAGAGTTTGCCAGGGAGAACTGAAAACTCTATCAAGAACCACTGGAATGCAACTAAAAGAAGGCAAACTTGCACCTCCAAGAGAAAAAGCCGATCCAAGTATCCGAAGGGCTCCCTTCTACAAGAGTATATCAAGAGTTTGAACCTGGACTCAATTCCTAAAGTGAAACGACGTCAGAGGAGAAGGAGAACTCCTAAATATCCTGATGCCATAATTGGTAGTAGCACTACGATGAAAGAACCAGGTGACGAGCAGCCTCAGCAGGACTTGAACCTTTGTGAAAATAATGATGGACCCGTCTTACATTATGATTTTGATGAGATCCCAGATTTTGATTTTGACGAGACTATATTTCAAGATGGCAGCAGCATTGATTCTCTTCTTGATGAGATAGATTGTGATCCCGTTGTTAATGAGAAAGTGCTTGATATGGAAGTGCCAAGAGCGGACGAGATCCCATTCCAGGACTTTGAAATGATGGATGAGGTGGATTTATGGAGATGAGACCTGAAAACACTTGGCATGCAGTAGTAGTTTGGTTCATGGAGGTACTATATTACTGGCGTAGGATTAAGATTTCCTTGAAAACAAAGTTCACCAAGGATTATACAGCAACAGATATTCTTAATTTTTATTTTTTTTATTCTGGCATGCAACAAATAATATTCTTGCTGGTTGGCTTATGTTATTAAGAATTAAAAGTGGATTGGATAAACGAGGGGAGTGAACGAAAATAAAGCTAACAACACTTACGTTGTAAATGCTATGATATCATACAAAGTCTTTTAAGGCTTCGATTGCAAAATTGTTTTCAAAGGCTGCTAGAATTGAATAAACAAGTCCTCTTTTTCTTTTGTCTTTTTTAACCCTACAATTTCCTTTTGTATTATCTCCTCTGTTTGTTTTCCAATTCATGGTATCCATATACATCTGCTGAAAATTGAAATTCTGCAGCCAGTGATAGCTGATTCATCATGAGATTGCTAGATATGCGATAAATAGACACAAAGATGTCATAAGTTCTTGTATACAACAACAACAATGGCAGAATGTACTGATTTTTTCCCCCAGAGGACGTCTATGGGCAAGTAGACATGCATGCATGATGAATCTATCAGAGGCCATGTATACACTATCCCTTGTTTTACCCAGTCAACAAGCAGTTGGTGGGCTGCAAAACTCTTAAAGCAGGTCAAATGTTTAGGTTCAGGATTTAATAACCTTAATTAGAGCATTAAGTTGAAATTAATTGCAGTAAATCATGGCTAGTAACATAAGTAGCAATTTATTATAAGAAAGAAGTGGCATGACCCACATGAATGAATTTTACATCATTTTAAACATTATTTCCAAAATGAATAACTTTAAACCTTATTCTCAAAAACTGAAATTCTCCTGCCATACAAGGCATCTAGGTCTATATATATCACTAATCCATGACATTTTTTTTTCTCTTATTTAAAAAAATGAAAAATTTTCATTTCTAAGTTTTATTCCTCCAATTGTAATTCAATCATCAATCTAATATGTCAACATGATATATTTGTATCACAAATTAAAACATTTTCAATACATAAAAGATGATTATCTTTATCCCTAACCTTGCAATCTCATGTCCTTAGTTGAGTTTATTGAATTTGTTAGAAAAACAAAATTATAATTTATGATGCTTACCTAAAGCTGAAGCTGAAAAAGAGATGAATTAAAAATTTAATTAAGATCTGAGAAAATAAAGGCTTGAGAGATGTTGAATATCGATTTGTTCCCTTTATTGCTCTTTTATTTTAAGAATTTTGAAACAATAATAATAATAAAAGATAACATGGACAGGTGGCGTGTACCATGTGGCACTTCATAACCTTATTTAGAGAAATAAAATTGAAAAATACCATATTTTAGGGGGAGGGGGGGGGGGGGGATTGCAAGTCAATATATATATCAAATCAAAAACAAAAAAAGAGCCAAATATTTTAACGACGTTGTATTTGTGACTGAAACAAGATTATTTCTAGTGGCATAATGGGTTTTTAAGAAGATTAGAACAAGTTACATATAATTTATTATATAATTACTAATAGATTTCATTGCTTTACAATAAAAAATTGTGTTGGTGTTTACACTATTATTTTATCTGTAATTATTTTATTAATAGATTCATGGATGAAAACCATCAGTTGTAAAAACACCCGTCAATAAATTTCTGGTATGTCAGTAAGTTTATCATTAAAAAAAAATATTGATAGACTATTCTGCCAAAAAAAATACTTGATTCCCTCTATCAGTAATTTCAGTGATGAGTTGCAGTGATATTTGTTGTAATTTTTTCTGAATTCTCTAGGATTTATTATCAAAATAATTCTGTCAGTGATTTAGCAGTTACAATGGTATTGGCAATAATTTTTTTTAACTCTTTAGAATATATCGACAGAATAAGTCTATTGGTAACCTCTTCAATAATAGTTTAAAAAAATATATTTTTTAAAAATTTATTGAACAGAAATAGAAAATAATTAAACATAAATAAATTTGCATTAAATTCAAGTATTTACAAATCAATTATCTTAATATAAATACCAAATATTTACTATAAATTTATACGTTCAAATACAATGAAACTAGAACAAAGACAAGGTTAAAGGAGGAGGAGGTTGGTTGTTTCCGGGATTGTGGGGCTAATTAGGGGGTGTGTATATACCACTCATCTGTGATCTAATATTTATGACCATTTGGCGGAGTTCTTCATAATCCACAAAGAGTCGTTCATATTTTTCATTGAGATGGGTTGTACATTCTTGCATTCCTTGATTTAATAAGGCCATGAATTCCAACGACTGTGTGCTTATGATTGATTGTGAGCACCTAATAGCTAAAACAATGTGGGTCGTCTGCAAGTTTTCGGTCATAGTGTTAGAGAGTCCGTACACTCAATTTTTATCGAGTCCACCCGACAATCCTGCAACTAAGCACAAATTCAAATTGAAATACGGGTGAGTTGAAGGATCGTCCACGTATCTCTCCTTCAACTAGTTATTATATATCTTCTGAAAATAAAAAATAAAATCATCAAATTAAAAAAAAAATAACTTAAGAAAAAAAATGGTTGAAAACCAATGTACCACAAGTGTTGACCTCAATTGTGGACGAAAAATTGCATCTTTTTTTTATGGTCATTACTCCGCACGTGCGTTTCCACAAAAAGCTTTATTGGGCTTGGCTCGCGTCCGAGAGTCATAGCCTGTAAAATAAAAATATTATTAGTTAAATATATTTATAAATAACAATAAAAAATAGATATAATTAAAATTAATCTTACCATTCGCTTTACATGCGAAACGAATAGAATAGAGTTGTTGGTGTGTGTGGTAACCAAACTGTGAATTTGCCAACTCTGATTCCCATCACTAGACTATGATTGTCGTATGAAATGTTCAAACATCACGTGTTGAATGTATTCTGCCTATATAGTCTCTAGAATGTATGGTGGTCTAAAATCCTATCATACCGCTACATAATTCTAGCTTGATAGAATGTTTTTTGGCATATTTTTTAGATTTTTTTTGCGTATCGTACGCGCAACCTATATGGTATAAACATATTATTTATGAGTGAATGACAAATGAAATTTTAATATTTAAAATAAAAAAAAATTATATCGATTTCGATGTTATCTAGTTGCGGCGTGATTCTCCCAACCCTCCTCACAACATTATCATTTGCTCAATTCCACTCAAATTTAGCCTTGTAGTAAAAATTTAGAAAAAAGAAAATTTTCAATAATTTCAATAAAGTAAATGAATTAACATAATAAATAGTAAAAAAATGAAGTAATACTAACCTTAGATCTTAAAAACCATACATCTACTTACAATTTCCATTTAGGATGTTTGGAAACTTAGCTCTATTGAAACAATTGAATTTTCATCGATAACTTAAATGTCAATGTTATTATCCAAGCAAGCTCAATGCTTCTGAACATGAAAATGGATAAATTTAATGAAATATTATTTGTTCATAAATTGTTAAACATAAACTTACTTAAAGCAAAACAACCTTACATTGAAAGATCATCCTCCCATTACATTTCGTGCTTGGGGGTAAATTAATTCCACTTTATAGGGACCCCTTTTATGTTATGGCATCGCACTTGAAAAGGTAGTGTCTTGAGTCGATGCATGTGCTTTAGGTGCCTTTTATTTGTCGGCACCTAATGACTTGTGGTTGTCATTATCACTACTAGAAAAACTGGCAGCGATTCTGTGCTCATTATGTGTAATTGATTTTTTTTCTAGACATCTTCATAAATTTACATAAAAAATAAAGAATTATATCCCCAAATTAGAACTCGTGGTAATTGAATATCTTTTTGGTATTTTAGATTTATGGAATTGAAACTGCTAGCTTGCTGATTAAAAAGAAAATCACATGCCTATTTGACCATCGTATATAGAGTTATCGCCTATAGACCATCACCTGCAAATTATTGCTTGAGAACTTGCTAAAACTAAAATGCGGTGATTTGAGCTTGAGTTATTGTCAATCTTCTTTACAATACACCTTATATAATTAGTTATGTGATACTTCCAGTAGCCTTCTGTCAATAACATATAACCTCTAATTTTTCAGGGCTCTTTCTATGGTCTCATGTTCACAAAAGTTATTGCTACCTTTTAATTACGTGGCTTTTTATATTTGTTTGTAGAGTTAATCTTATGTTCATGTTCCTTTATATATGCAAGTAACCCTTATCTTTTTAATTATTACTAGTTATCATATAATGTTTATATATATATATATATATATAATTGCTCATTAATAAATGAAAACTAGCAAGTAATCTTAATTAAAATATATGTTAATAATCAAATTTTGAATTTTACATCAAATCAACAACCATTCCTATTTAACATGTGTGAATGATAGAGTAATGATGGACATTTTTCTAAAATAAATTTTAATTTTTTGAATTTTAATTCTAACTAACTCTTCTTTTCATCTTCTTCTCTAATGTTTACTTTTTCTAGCTAGTCATACTCTCTATATTTTCTCTTATTTTCTTGATTATTTGGATTTTCTTATGACTTCTGCTTTATATTATCCTATTTTAATTGTTTATATATATTCATAGGCCCTAATTATTATATTGTAGCCATTTATTTTTGTAACTCTCCTTTTTTTTATGTTTTTTATTCCTTTAATACGTGTTTTTTGGTCCAGCATGTCTATAATCTCTAGAATAGTCACCTTGACTGCCACTTTTCCATAATTGTTTTCTAATATTGTTTCACTCATTGGAAGAGATCTTCCTCTTCTTTACAGGCTTTTTAGTTAATAAAGGCTTTGTCAGGATTTCGCTAATCTTATCCTCTATTTCTTCAAAAAAAATTATGATAATGATGGATGTGTAATTCTAATTGTATTATGTTTTCCTGTATAAAATTATGCTTAAATGGTTTGTATATGTTACAAATTGCTTGTTTTCTGCATGCACAATTTCAAACTTACTT